AGCAGAATTACTGCCCGCGTTCACACCACTGTTGGAATTGTTTCGTTTGTTTTTAATTCACACACATTTATGATTTGTACTCACTAGGGAATTCATGTGCATCCGGATGACGAGTCCCAAATAGGACGACATGCGCATCCAGGATTCCACTGCTGGTCACCAACCACCAATTAAATTCTATACATGCCAATATTTTACAGAGTGGCTCTTTGGCCCAGTGGTCTAGTGGATAACACTTTGGCGTTTGAAACTATGGGCGCTGGGTTTGAGCCTCGGTGAAAACATCATCACTCAATGGACTTCAGATCGAGTCCAAATAGGACGAAATGCGCATCCTGGATTCCTGCACTGCTAGTCAAGATCTACCAACTAAACTATATATATAGTTCATTTTGTTTTGTTCATTCATTTCTGTGTATTCAGAATTATATTCCAGGTTGTTGACAGTTGTACTGAGTCACCCTTGTTACATGTATCCGATGTGACTCTAATGAAAATCGATTCTGTTATATGGCTCTCTTTCCATTTGTTCATATTAGACTTCAGAATACAAACATTGTTCCAACCGATATTGTGGTTTTGTCCTATGGTGCATGTGCAACTATAGACGAACATTTTTGAAAATTCTTGTAAGCTTGTGTTCCTTCCCGTTGGATGACCTTTAGTCGGTTAGGCGTTTATGTTCATTCACTCTTATTTTGAGTGATCTGGACGTTTGACCCACATATTTAGTCCGACAGTCAGCACAAGATATTTTGTAAATCGCATCATTTTTATGGGATCTTTCAGTTGATTCATTTTATTTTTGATTAGATTTGTCGGTTTAAAAGTTGTGTGAATGCCGATATTTTGAGGTTTCTTTGAATTGCCTCTGATGTAGCATTCCATCTTGTCATTCTCCGGTTTTACCCTCTTTTTTTTATACTATCTCTGATAAATTCTTTTGAGAAGTTGTTGTTGAGTAACATTTTGGATAGGTCGTTTGTTTCTTTACTCTGGTCCTCTGGTGTTGTTGTAAGTCTACGCATTCTAACTGCAATACCTTGTATTAATCGTCGTTTCGCCGTCAGTGGATGAGCTGAGTGATAATCAAGGAATCTTCCAGAGTGTGTGGTTTTTCTATATAGTGTCGTTTTCATGCTACCATCTGTTACTCTTTGTATTTTGCAGTCTAACATAGGCAGTTCCCCAATTTTATTGAGTCGAAATGACTGTTTATGTGTGAGAAGAATTTCTCAACATCGTTCTTTTTCATTATTACTAACGTGTCGTCTACATATCTCCATCAACATTTTATTGATTACCTGAATGGCTTAAGTGTATTCCCTTGCCAACAATCCATGAATTTGTCAGCTATTATTGGTGGGATGGGTGATCCCATGGCTACTGCTTCATTTTGTTGGTATATTTTCTCTTCAAATGTAAAATATGTTGTTGTCAGACAGAATTCCACCCTCTTTATTATCTCTTCTATGGATAACTGTGTTCTGTCTTTTAAGCCACTATCTTCTTTTAGTCTCATTTCCAATGCATTCATGGCCACTTGAATAGGTATTTTAGTATAGGGACTGTTCACAACAAAGCTAACTAGTGTTTCCTCTTCCTCTATTTTAGTCGTTTTTAGTCGTCCCACTAATTCAAATGAATCTACTATTCTAGCTTTTCAGTTGTCTCGTGTCAGTCTTAGTATTGTTGAGAGAAATCTTGACAGCATGTACGTTGGTGTGTTTCTAAAGTCTACAGTCGGTCTTATTGGATATCCTTCTTTATGCAATTTTATCTTGCCATATATCCTAGGCATATTACATGATTTCGGCATAATTTCAAACCATTTTTGAAAGATCCCATGAACATGATGGATAAAAACAATGTAATTTACAAATAGATATCTTGTGACGAGTGTCCTACTAAATATGTGGGTCAAACGTCCAGATCACTCAAAATAATAGCGAATGAACATAAACGCCTAACTAAAGATCAACCAACAGTAACACAAGCGTACAAGAATTTAGAAAAAACTTAATCTATAGTCGCATATGCATGAGACAAAAACCACAATATCGATTGGAACAATGTTTGTATTTTAAAAACTAATATGAACAAATGGAAAGAGAGACTTATAACAGAATATATATTCATTAAGGTCACACCGGATACATGTAACAAAGGTGACTCAGTACAACTGTCAACAACCTGGAATATAATTCTGAATACACAGAAGTGAATGAACAAAACAAAATGAACTATATATATGAGTACAAATCATAAATGTGTGTGAATGAATAAAAAACGAAACAATTCCAACATCTGGTATGAAGACGGGCAGTAATTTTGCTCGGAATATTACCGAAAACAAAAACTTATCACTGTGTGTAAACCAGTAAAATATAATTATACTTTATTTGATAAATGTAGAACCTAATGATGAAAGCGTTATCGGGTAGAATATTCTCTATTCATTTTAAAATTTTAATGGGCATCTTCAATGAATCAGCATTAGGCTTTTTCGATGACATAAATATTGAATAGTGTTTGCTAGCCAGATCAGAGTTATCTAAACATGTGTGGTTTGAACTGAGTCGGCTACCTGAGAGAAGTCTGACAGAGTACATCACTGTTAAGTTCGGCTTCAACCGAGTGAAGTGGTCCTCAGTTGCTTCGATCAATTCACTTGTGCTTACAAGTACTCCCAGGTTTTGTGGGTGGTATGTAACTGCTCAGAGACGATAGCAGATATGCTGACTCCATTATTGCAAAAAATATCTGGAAGGAGGGAAAGGTGCCTACTGACTGGAGGAAATGGTACCTAGTGAAACTACCAAAGAAGGGCGACTTAGGACTCTGCAAGAACTGGCGAGGAATCATGCTCCTGTCGACGCCAAGTAAAATCCTGAGTCGCATCATCCTGGAGAGGATAAAGGATGCACTGGATACAGAACTCTGACCAGAACAAGCTGGATTCAGGAAAGGCAAATCATGTTCTGACCAAATTGCAACTCTACGCATCATCATCGAACAAAGCATGGAATGGCAATCAAACCTCCACCTCAACTTTATAGACTTTGAGAAGGCCTTCGACAGCGTTGACCACGAAGTAATTTGGAAACTACTCAAGTACTACAGCGTACCCCAAATATCCATCAATCTTATTCAACAGCTGTACGACAACAGCACATGTCAAGTGATCCACAACGGAAAACTCAGCGAGGCGTTTGGAGTAAACACAGGAGTCAGACAAGGGTGCTTATTATCACCAATCATATTCCTAATTATGGTGGACTGGATTATGCCTCAGACAGTGGGAAACGAGAAGACAGAGATATCGTGCGTGGATGATTTATGTTTGATGTCACACAAAATCGAAGACTTACAAGCGAAAACCAACAAACTGGTCGAAGAAGCAGCCAGCAAACACAGGACTCCAGGTGAACATAGACAAGACGGAGGTTATGAAAATAACCAACCAACTACAACTACGGCAGCAGCAACATCCAGCGCCAATCACCATCAATGGGAGGGATTTGAAAGAGGTTACTTCATTCACTTATCTAGGGAGCCTTGTCTCAACTGCAGGAGGAACGGACGGACGAGAATGTCAAATCGAGAATCGGGAAGGCAAGAAACACATTGATCAACCTGAAACCAATCTGGAAATCTTCGTCACTCAACATCAACAACAAAATTCGGATTTTCAATACAAACGTCAAGTCAGTTCTTCTATACGTACGGAGCAGAAACTTGGCGGGTCACCAACAAGTTGCAGACCTTTATCAACAACTGACTTCGTTCTATACTGAAGACCAGATGGCCGCCGGAAATAATCACCAACAAGAAACTATGGGAACATACAAAACAAGAACGAATCGCCCAACAAATATGCGGGAGAAAGTGGAGATGGATTGGACACTCGCTGAGGAGGCCGCTGGGTGACATCGCGCGTCAGGCCATCGCTCGAGTGGAACCCGAAAGAGAAGAGGCGAGTGGGACGTCAATGCAAGGGTGACATGGAGGAGATCGTGTGAAGAGGAGGAGTTGAGACAGTATGGACTATCATACGTGCAGGTGAAAAGTACAGCATTAGACAGAAGCAAGTGGAGACGTGCAGTTGAAGCGGTATGTTCCACTAGGAACCCAAGGGAACAATAATAATAATGTAACTGCTCATATGATGAAGTCAGTAATCTGTGTATTCGTATTATTTCCTACTGAGGTAAGAGGAACCTGAACTATTCAGAACTATATATGTAATGTTATCGTAAACTCTCAGTATTTTCTGGATTTATCCCTACTCCTTGTTTGATGCAAATGTGCAAATACACTTGCTATCCTCCTTACAATTAAATTCTTTTTAAATTGAGGATTTCTTGTAAATTAGTGTTTGTGGTTGTCATTGATGAAGCATTAATCCTTATATAAACTTTCCTGGGATCCAATATGCCTCGCTAAGGCAAGTCAGAAATGTCACTATTGGTGGTTTGAAAACAGGTGATAAATATCCTTACAGAAGCTTTCATTTAGGTCTGCATAGATTGGCATTTAGGGTACTGGTCTTGTAAACAAGGATATTCGATCCTTCACGGGAGTAGAATCTGTTTGACTCAGGCTCGATTCCTTGCCAACATATCTAACGTAATTTAGTAACCGGTAGTAAGCTCGGGTTTGAGAAAAGGGTAGACGTGAGGCTAGCAACTCAACCCCATAAGATGAGTATCACTTCAAGTGAAACTTCTAAGCCTGCGGCTCTATATTCACAGTTTGTTACATGTAATATTGTTCATAAGAAACTGAGTGCTGTCCAAGCCGCACAGTGACTTTTTAATAGAAAATGTACTGGATTTATCGTTTATGCCAGAGTACTGCTTTTTCCGTTGTAAGACTGTAGTGACTATGCAACTCTCCCCATACAGCTGATGCATATTAGCTTAGTGCACGAAGTATCAGTGAATCTTTGTTAAATCTTTGTATTCGGTGCTCAGACATTTAATTATTTAAACTTGCAGGTCAAAGAGATCCACCCGCGTAAGTTTAGTAAATTATTAATACTGGATAAAAAATTCCATGTATTTTGTTAGTGTTTTTAATACCGTTTATTTCACTGCCTCCTTCAGAAGTGATGTGAAAACGAAGAGCTCCATAAGGTCATCTCTGGATTAAATTGAGACTATTTGAAAGTTTTCGTGACGTCTGTGAACAGTATTAAGTAGAGTAAAAGAGGACGAAAGAGGAGAGATGTTGGAAATGAATGTAACACACCAACCGCCTGGACTTGCTAAGAAAACAGGTCCTAAGAAATCTATAATCAGTCAAACTAAATCAGACCGTGTTTGATATTCTTTTAGGACGGATAAGGACGGTTTATTGCAAAGTACTCTACACAGCTGCAGTCAGATTTCCCGATATCCCCTGGGAGGATAGTTATTCACTCCGTGTGAACTATTTTAAGCTCTTTATCCTGTAGGTCTTAAATAGAAATAATTGTTTTGCTGTCATATATTTTGTTAGACCTGTGTTTGGCCCCAAGAATTGCTGATGCCTTAGCCCAGCTAACTTAATCCATGTGGCCAAGCTTCTAAAAACCAATCAAATTAATGAAGAAAGAGTATAATACTTAAGTCTGTTCTACGACGTATTCAGTGCAGTGCAGTCACTAGGCTGTTATCCGCTTTGAAATCTATCATCACAGATGAAGGAGAGATCGCTTTTGCTCAGGCGAACTCACGCGTTTCTCGATTTCCTTACAAACTAACTGTAGTCTAAATTGAATTTTGATCTCGATCTAAGTTTATTTGAAGTTATCTTTCATTATTTTCCAGACGAAATTTCTATGGATACTGTAGTTGGTTGGCGAACTAAATAGTAAATCCACGATGTGGGTGTTTTCTAACAGTAACTGGTCATTAGCTGGGATACAATTCAATTTGGATGATTTTCCACTAAGGCCATAGTGATCCTCCAACCTGCTGAATCAATATGGCTTTTCTGATGTTGTGTAGCAGATTTCAATTAGGTTAGTTAAGCAGTGAGGTCGCGCCTAGTTCTGTGATAGCTTTTACAGTCAGTAATCATACGGTTGATATCTCAGACCAAGGGCACTTCTGGCAGACCACAATAATTCGTTCTAAGAAACCGGTCTCTCATTTTAGAAGCAGCAGTGCAATAGTAATACATTTGCATCTATTTTGTTAAACTACAACGCAGGCTCCGGTGTATGTGATCCCGACTGCATATGCAAGAAGCAGACCACCCTAGTTGCTTTAGTTGTCGCTTGCATAGTTAGCAGTTGTTTTTATTTATCTCTGTGGAATATGTTGAGAACAGTTTCACGCAACTGGCATGGGAACTTTTACTTCACTTGTGCACGAAGAAAATCCCCATAATTACTCATGCCAGAATCGGTCTATTTTCCATGGCCCACTTCTTCAGAAGGATCAGGTTTTCCTCCAGCTTGACCAATTATTCCATATTTCTCACAACTTTCTACAGCCCTGCGCGTGTGAAGGAGAGCTAGAGAGCCTAATTTATTGATCGGACCGTCTATAAACATTAGGAATAGCGGTGGATATGTTTGATTTTTTATTCCTTGACGTTTTCAGTAGAACACAGAGCTTCAAGCTAGAGCCTTGACGTTTCTGTAGCAGTGGTGTTTATTTTTACAGCCCAACTTTCCCTCTTTACCAGCCTTATTACCGGCTTGGTGAGTTAAAGGAGCGCGTCGTCCGGGAATTGAACTCTGGACCACATGTATGACTGGCGAGCATTCTACTGCTGTGCCACTGATGCAGTGGATATGTTAATTCATGTAAATTGCCTTTACCCATATTAGGTGAGCTCAGTGACACTACTCCATTACCTCTTCTAATATGTATCTTGTACAGATAACTAACTGTAAATATGCTTACTCAACATACATATTATTTATCATATTGATGATGCTTGTAAACTGGTGTCCGTCATGTACAAAAGCAATGAGAATATATTGTTATTATTATCTAAGACAGAAGAATGATTTCCCCAGCAACCGATTTGAAAAATTGTTTTAACTATATCACTATTTTAGCGAGAGCGTTGAGTCCTTTAAAACTGAGTAAGTATTGAGTGTTTCTGTATTGTTCCCTGGTTGTTGCTCATATAAAATCTGTGTTAGCGACAGCATTTATTAACAACAATGGATTAAATTAGGAATTTGGGAATGGGAGAAGGCTATATCCTCTCAACATTTCATTATTTGACAGAGGAAATTATTAGGCATACCGTGATGGATTTGCTATTTATTTCGCTAACCAAAGTATTTTATTGGGTGTGATAAATGGAAGTGATCCTGTCAAAAGATGAACGGAACAGTCAGTAACCACTTCTCCAATAGTCAAATACCTAACGCCAAATTACTAATGAACTCTGTTTCAAATCTTCTAAATCATTTAGTACCAGTATTATCATTCATTCATTCGTAATTACTTCCAAATATTTCGTAAGAAATGAAACGGTAATATAATCATAAAATTAACTTTTGGAAGGCCTTATTTATTAGCTTTTATTTAGTCCATGGGCTTCAATTGAAGAGGATGACTTCCAAAGTTCGTTATGTTTACCATGCCCATTTTATGTAGTATGACTTTCACATGATTTCCTATTATCCTTTTTCCTATGTAAATCTTCATCATAATTAGTCGTAGTCAATGGGCATACTCGAAAAATAACAGCTCAAAGAAAGGAACAGGAAATTCATGAGCATTTTTATGCCCCATATTGCTCCTCGCTGGAAGTATTGAACTAAGATGATAAGCACACGTTTTCCTATGTCGCTGAAATTTAACGGCCAATTGATAGCATATAAATTTCTATTGTTTATACCCAGCTTCCTGAAGACCCACTCGACTAGGATGAAACAATTTTGCCACGGAAACACCTGAGATACTTTAAAATGCATTCATTATGTAATTCAATATTTAATCCACCATTAATTTGTTAAACAAGAATAATCGATATCCAATATGATTTCGATGAACTATCTTCTTTACGCTGGCTTATTAGCCGTAAGGTAAAGGTCCCTGAAATTTGATAAAATTCTGCATAGTCGTCTCCACCAGTTGACTTTCATAGTTTTGGTTTCTAACGACAGAATGTAAGAGTCAGGCAACAGATCCTTTATTAAGGAAATCAATGCATATTTATATATTTTCATGTACATTACAATGGATATTTAAGCAAACGAACACAGTCTTCCGATTGGTTGTTTCTCACGTGAAGTTAATCTTTCATCTATTTGTGACTGTTTCTTGAATGTCAAGTCCTCTATATGTTAACTGCATCCGCCTACGCAAAGTATGTTGTGGTCGGTTTTCAATCAATCTTTGTTCACATTTTCTCACGACAAATCTTGGGAACGTAAATAGTGACGTAAATTACTATCTACCAATATGGCTAGTAGACATCTCTCACCACAGGTTGACTCCAAAAGATATGTTGGTGTGGGGGTTGGTTACGTGTGGTTTGTTGTATGTGGTATGTTAAGACCTTATCGCCACTGTCAGTGGAGTCGTCCAGTATGTCCGAAAAGGCAGACAGTAATAGATATGGTTGGTGTAGGTTTTGTAGACCTGAGAAAAGGTACAAATAGGTAGACAATGAAATCTGATAATTAAAAATGAATTACTACGTTCAAATAATCACAGTATCAGTAATAAATTAGTGTATAAGTAGGTATGGTAGTCAGAAGAGTGAGTCAGTGGGGAACGGTCAGTGGTGAAGCACCAGGCTCCGTGTGCATCAACTAATAATTTGGTGTAACAGTCGCCTAGGGCTTCCTAATAACGGCGGGACAGACGTGGCTGCTGGTGAAGACTTTCAAGTACGGCAGACTGCAAGAAAAAAGAAACCAAGTGTAAACCTAGTCTTTAGTCCCTGATGCGCTATCATTCTCGGGTTGATAAGAGGAAGCCCGTGATGTCTTAATGGTAGAAGACCACTGTTTCAGTGATTCGTGCAATTTGTAACCTTATGGTTAGTAATCAAGTCACCCTTGTGGCGACGGTACCTAAGTGTGAAAAGATCCAACTTCTTCAGTCTTTCATTCGATGCTTTATCTTGGAGAACCATCCGTCCTCAGATTCACTCAAAATGACTAGCGCCCACTATGAGCAACTGGGCAGCATCTTATGGTTTCGTTTTACGTACGTGTTGCATGACTCCACAACAAGCTCAAGAGTACACTTGACTACCTATGACTAAAGTGTATGACTTCATATACCTCCGCCACATCCTCCGTATAATTCACATTAATATCCAACTTCACCTTTAGGACGAGAACTAAGACGTTCCCGGATGTTATACAGCACAAGTTATCGTCGGTTTGGGAGTAACTTGCACTCTCTGGCTTGCGGGTGCGAACGTGCACCACCATGAGCTTTTCTGGCTGAAAGTTATGCCACTGACTAGTCTTCTGAGCAATCTGTTGCTCTTCATATGCATGCATCATAAGAGTGAAGAAGAGATGGGACGGCATGACAGGTCACCTATCAAAATGAAAGAGCATCATGGTCTCTAGGATAGAACCCTGTGACACTCAAAGTACCAAACTGTGCAAGGATGATTGGACATGACTGATCCCGGTGAAAAATTCTCTTAGGACAGCCATCCAGCCGTGAGGGAATCGGGCCATCTATACCCACCTGTGTAATGCCCTCGCGAATTCAAGGAATATCATACAGACTCGGATATTTAAATCCCAGCATGACGACCAATCATTCCAAGCCGATAATATATTTTTTGATTACAGCTTGATTCCACACCGTATCTTTTGGTACAAGTATGGAATTTCCAGCATGCGATATCGGTAGCCCAAATTTTGCAGGCCGACCATATAAATCAGGTGTGCGTCGTCAGGGGATTGAACCCCGTGCCATTTGCATCGTCGGCGAGAGTCTTAACCACTGTGCCACCGACGCAGAGTTTTGGGATACTCTTCTTCCGAGGCTATGTTATGCTTCATATAGCGTTTCGCTCCTGCCGAGGTGTTGGCTGACACTGTAATTAATCGGACTTTTCAGTACCTTCGATACTATTGTGAGTAATTAACTGGTCTGTAACTAGTTCCTTGTTTCCTATCCTCCCTCTCGAAGATAGAGGAAAGGATGGCTCTCTTTTACTCCCTTGACAGTTTCCATGGATCCATATAGTGTTGGAACAGGTCGCATAGGGTTCTGCAGAGGGCTTTTGAGCACAATTTCGGAAGAGATGACAGAATGTAACCACAATCTGCAGACTTTCCAAGGGTGAGTTCTTGCAACTTCTTTATTGCAACTGCTAGATCAATTTGGAGTGTTCCCGTCATGTTTTCTCTTCGTCAGTTAGCAATCTGATACTTACGGCTTATAACGGTGATACTCACACTGTTATTTTGCTGTCAGTGAGAGACAGAAATGAACGCTTCAGCCACTTTCAAACCACTGAGACATTGATCATCTGCCCCTCCCCAAGGCTCTTACCCCCTGACTGTAAGATTTCTTTCCGACATACTTCAGTTTAGGCTTCTGAGATTTGTCAGGAGACTTTTGGTAATAGTTACCGGAAATAAAATCCATAATCTTGTGTGACGTCGGTTTCTGAGTCCCAGATATGCTTCGTAGTGAGTCTAACTAATGGAGAGTCGCAGTGTAAAGCAAGCTTTCTGCTTTGCTTGCAGATTACTCTGTGTGCCACTCTTCAACCATGAGGATTGCTTTCTAAGTTAAAGTGTAACTAGAGGGGCTACAGTCATCTGGGATTGCTGTGAAAATGGTCCCTTTTACCGTCTCCCGGTATTCCTCTATTGTGACTACAGCCCAGTCTTCGGGCCATTCCGCGCCGGGCAAGTCTTTGTAATTTGGTGAAGTCGGTTTTGTCACATCACAGACACGGTAGCATAGCATCCCACTTTAAGCTCTCGCGTGGAAACAGATCAGGCACTAAGACCGCATGATCAATGCTGCTTAGACGGGCCATGATGTGGGTGCTTTCTAACAGTAACTGGTCATTAGCTGGGATACAATTCAATTTGGATGATTTTCCACTAAGGCCATAGTGATCCTCCAACCTGCTGAATCAATATGGCTTTTCTGATGTTGTGTAGCAGATTTCAATTAGGTTAGTTAAGCAGTGAGGTCGCGCCTAGTTCTGTGATGGTTGCTACAGACAGTAATCATACGGTTGACATCTCAAACCAAGGGCACTTCTGGCAGACCACAATAATTCGTTCTAAGAAACCGGTCTCTCATTTTAGAAGCAGCAGTACAATAGTGCATCTGTTTTGTTAAACTACAACGCAGGCTCCAGTGTATGTGATCCCGACTGCATATGCAAGAAGCAGACCACCCTAGTTGCTTTGGTTGTCGCTTGCATAGTTAGCGATTGCTTTTATTTATCTCTGTGGAATAGGTTGAGAACAGTTTCACGCAACTGGCATGGGAACTTTTACTTCACTTGTGCACGAAGAAAATCGCCATAATTACTCATTCCAGAATCGGTCTATTTTCCATGGCCCACTTCTTCAGATGGATCAGGTTTTCCTCCAGCTTGACCAATTATTCCATATTTCCCACAACCTTCTACAGCCCTGCGTATGTGAAGGAGAGCTAGAGAGGCTGATTTACTGATGGAACCGTCCATAAACACTAGGAATAGCGGTGGATATGTTTGATTTTTTATTCCTTGACGTTTTCAGTAGAACGCAGAGCTTCAAGCTAGAGCCTTGAAGTTTCTGTAGCAGTGGTGTTTATTTTTACAGCCCAACCTTCTCTCTTTACCAGCCTTATTACCGGCTTAGCGAGTTAAAGGAGCGCGTCGTCCGGGAATTGAACTCTGGACCACATGTATGACCGGCGAGCATTCTACTGCTGTGTTACTGATGCAGTGGATATGTTAATTCATGTGAATTGCCTTTACCCATGTTAGGTGAGCTCAGTGACACTACTCCACTACCTCTTCTAATATGTATCTTGTACAGATAACTAACTGTAAATATGCTTACTCAACATACATATTATTTATCATATTGATGATGCTTGTAAACTGGTGTCCATCATGTACAAAAGCAATGAGAATATATTATTATTATCTAAGACAGAAGAATGATTTCCCCAGCAACCGATTTGAAAAATTGTTTTAACTATATCACTATTTTAGCGAGAGCGTTGAGTCCTTTAAAACTGAGTAAGTATTGAGTGTTTCTGTATTGTTCCCTGGTTGTTGTTCATATAAAATCTGTGTTAGCGACAGCATTTATTAACAACAATGGATTAAATTAGGAATTTGGGAATGGAAGAAGGCTATATCCTCTCAACATTTCATTATTTGACAGAGGAATTTATGAGGCAAAGCGTAATGAATTTGCTATTTATTTCGCTAACCAAAGTATTTTATTGGGTGTGATAAATGGAAGTGATCCTGTCAAAAGATGAACGGAACAGTCAGTAACCACGTCTCCAATAGTCAAATACCTGACCCAAATTAATAATGAACTCTGTTTTAGATCTTCTAAATCATTCAGTACTAGTTTTATCATTCAAATCATTCATATTTACTTCTAAATATTCTATTAGGTCAGAAACGGTAATATAATCATAAAATTAACTTTTGGAAGGCCTCATTTATTAGCTTTTATTTAGTCCATGGGCTTCAAGTGAAGAGACTGACTTCCAAAGTTCGTTATGTTTACCATGCCCATTTTATGTAGTATGACTTTCACATGATTTCCTATTATCCTTTTTCCTATGTAAATCTTCATCATAATTAGTCGTAGTCAATGGGCATACTCGAAAAATAACAGCTCAAAGAAAGGAACAGGAAATTCATGAGCATTTTTATACTCCGTATTGCTCCTCGCTGGAAGTATTGAACTAAGATGAAAAGCACACGTTTTCCTAACTCGCTGAAATTTAACGACCAATTGATAGCATATAAATTTCTATTGTTTATACCCAGCTTCCTGAAAACCCATTCGACTAGGATGAAACAATTTTACCACGGAAACACCTGAGCTACTTTAAAATGCATTCATTATGTAATTCAATATTTAATCCAACACCAATTTGTAAAACAAGAATCCAATGTCCAATATCGTTTTTACGAGCTAGTATAAACCAATTTGATTTCTTTGTGCTGGCGTCTTGATTGTAAGGTGCAGATTCCTGAACTTCGGTAAACACAGGCGTAGCTCGTCCCGCCACTCGACAGTCGTAGCTCTGGTTAACTCCAAAAGGAGTAGTGCTGGGATTAATTATATGCGGTTTGTAGTATGAGGTGTGTTAAGACTGTTACTACTGTGAATGGAGTTGATCCTTTCATCAGTTAGTCCTCCGGTATCATCGTCAAAAGAAAAGAGATAATAATAATAGATACGATTAGTGAAGTTATTCAGACTAACAGACAGAAAAAGAAATAAGAAAACGTAACAACAGTCAGCTGATTAAATTTGAAGAATAATGTGAATAATATATATCGGTAATAGTGATAATAATGATAATAGGTGTAGTTAAAGTTGCCAGAAGAGTAAGACGGGAGAGAATTTAAAGAAGTAAAAGGACGAATTTAGTTGTCTACTCCTGAATGATGTATGGGATTTTAAGGGGATAGGCCATTTGGACGCAGTCCTTGTGTTGCTGCATGAATGTCCAGCCTTCGCTTAAAGGCGTCCACAGACGGTGCCAAAGCTACATCTGCAGGTGAAGAATTCCGGGGACAGCAAACCCGCAATGAAAAGAAGTGGGAGCGCACCCGACTCCTTGCCCTCTGGTGAGCTATCCTTCTAGGATTTCCACGAGGGAGCCTATACCTACTCAATGGCAGAACACCTTTGTTTGGGTGATTCTGGTCATTTGTTATTTTGTAGGCAGTAATTAAATCCCCCTAAGACGACGGTAGCTAAGTGTGAATAGGCCTAATTTCTTCAGCCTTTCATCATATGGTTTATTTCGGAGACCAACCACTCCTTTTGTTGCCCGTCGTTGGACTCTTTCCAAGGGGTTGGCGTCTCTTCTAAGCAGTGGGGGTGCAATAATATTATGCACTTCAAGATGTGATCTGACGTATGTTTTGTACAACCTTAGAAATAATTCAGGAGTGAGTGCACCTAACTGTCTATGTGTAAAGTGTATGACCGCATATGCCCTCGCTACATCCCCCGTGTAATTTACGCTTGTGTCCATTTTTCCGTTAGAACTAGACCTAAGTCGCGTTCCGACGTTGTGCAGGACAAGCTTTCATTGCACAGGGTGTAACTTGCATTCTGCAGTCTACAGGTGCGTTACTTCACTACTCCGCACTTTTTCAGATTGAAAGCCATGCCACTGGCCACCGCCCAGTCTTCCAGAAGCTCTAGATCTGCCCGCAGCCCATCTGAGTCCTCCGGGCACTTTATCGCCCTCCATATCTTCACGTCGTCAGCGTATAAAAGAGTCGGGCAGCTTAGGTGGCATGGTAGATCATTGATAAAAATCAAAAACATCAGTGGTCCAAGAATAGAACCCTGCAACACTCCTGATGACAAGCTGTCCCAAGATGATCGGTTGACCTTAGTGCAAAATTGCGTTTCAGCCAGGTAGTCCTTTAACCATGACAGAAGTGGCTTACCTATACCTGCCTGGCTTATTTTGTGTAGGATAAGGTCATGGTGAACGGTGTCAAATGCCTTCGCAAAGTCTAGAAAGACCACATGGACTGGGACATTCATATCCCAGCATGATATCCAATCGTCCCAAGCTGACAGTAGGTTTGTTACACAGGATCTGCCTTTCCTGAAACCGTGTTGGGCTTCATGGAGTATATTAGACCTATCGAGGTATTCCCTGATGTGATCATCAATAATACTTTCCAGTACTTTTGATACCACCAATTTGTAAAACAAGAATAATCGATATCCAATAACATTTTGACGAACTAGTTTACTTATGCTGGCTTATTAGCCGTGAGGTAAAGGTCCCTGAAATTTGATAAAATTCTGCATAGCCCGTCCCACCAGTTGACTTTCACAGTTTTGGTTGAGTCCAAGCGAAGTGGTGTGGGGGTTGGTTACGTGTGGTTTGTTGTATGTGGTATGTTAAGACCTTGTCACCACTGTCAGTGGAATCGTCCAGTATATCCAAAAAGGCACACAGTAATAGGTATGGTTGGTGTAGATTTTGTAGACCTGAGAAAAGGTACAAATAGGTAGACAATGAAATCTGATAATTAAAAATGAATTACTACGTTCAAATAATCACAGTATCAGTAATAAATTAGTGTATAAGTAGGTAGAGTAGTCAGAAGAGTGAGTCAGTGGGGAACGGTCAGTGGTGAAGCACCAGGCTCCGTGTGCATCAACTAATAATTTGGTGTAAGAGTCGCCTAGGGCTTCCTAATAACGGTGGGACAGACGTGGCTGCTGGTGAAGACTTTCAAGCACAGCAGACTGTAAGAAAAAAGAAACCAGGGGTAAACCTAGTCTTTAGTCCCTGATGCGCTATCATTCTCGGGTTGATAAGAGGAAGCCCGTGATGTCTTAATGGTAGAAGACCACTGTTTGAGTGATTCATGCAATTTGTAACCTTATGGTTAGTAATCAAGTCACCCCTGTGGCGACGGTACCTAAGTGTGAAAAGATCCAACTTCTTCAGTCTTTCATTCGATGCTTTATCTTGGAGAACCATCCGTCCTCAGATTCACTCAAAATGACTAGCGCCCACTATGAGCAACTGGGCAGCATCTTATGGTTTGGTTTTACGTACGTGTTGCATGACTCCACAACAAGCTCAAGAGTACACTTGACTACCTATGAGTAAAGTGTATGACTTCATATACCTCCGCCACATCCTCTGTGTAATTCACATTAATATCCAACTTCACCTTTAGGACGAGAACTAAGACGTGCCCGGATGTTATACAGCACAAGTCATCGTCACTTTGGGAGTAACTTGCACTCTCTGGCTTGCAGGTACGAACGTGCACCACCATGAGCTTTTCTGGCTGAAAGTTATGCCACTGACTAGTCTTCTGAGCAATCTGTTGCTCTTCATATGCATGCATCATAAGAGTGAAGAAGAGATGGGACGGCATGACAGGTCACTTATCAAAATGAAAGAGCATCAGGGTCTCTAGGATAGAACCCTGTGACACTCCAAGTACCAAACTGTGCAAGGATGATTGGACATGACTGATCCCGGTGAAAAATTCTCTTAGGGCAGCCATCCAGCCGTGAGGGAATCGGGCCATCAATACCCACCTGTGTAATGCCTTCGCGAAGTCAAGGAATATCACACAGACTCGGATATTTAAATCCCAGCATGACGTCCAATCATTCCAAGCCGATAATATATTTTTTGATTACAGCTTGATTCCACACCGTATCTTTTGGTACAAGTATGGAATTTCCAGCATGCGATATCGGTAGCCCAAATTTTGCAGGCCGACCATATAAATCAGGTGTGCGTCGTCAGGGGATTGAACCCCGTGCCATTTGCATCGTCGGCGAGAGTCTTAACCACTGTGCCACCGACGCAGAGTTTTGGGATTCTCTTCTTCCGAGGCTATGTTATGCTTCATAGAGCGTTTCGCTCCTGCCGAGGTGTTGACTGACATTGTAATTAATCGGACTTTCCAGTACCTTCGATACTATTGTGAGTAATTAACTGGTCTGTAACTAGTTCCTTGTTTCCTATCCTCACTCTCAAAGATAGAGGAAAGGATGGCTCTCTTTTACTCCTTTGACAGTTTCCATGGATCCATATAGTGTTGGAACAGGTCGCATAGGGTTCTGCAGAGGGCTTTTGAGCACAATTTCGGAACAGATGACAGAATGTCACCACAATCTGCAGACTTTCCAAGGGTGAGTTCTTGCAACTTCTTTATTGCAACTGCTAGATCAATTTGGAGTGTTCCCGTCATGTTTTCTCTTCGTCAGTTAGCAATCTGATACTTACGGCTTATAACGGTGATACTCACACTGTTATTTTGCTGTCAGTGAAAGACCGGAATGAACGCTTCAGCCATTTCCAAACCACTGAGACATTGGTCATCTGCCCCTCCCCAAGGCTCTTGCCCTCTGACTGGAAGATTTCTTTCCGACATACTTCAGTTTAGGCTTCTGAGATTTGTCAGGAGACTTTTGGTAATAGTTACCTGAAATAAAATCCATAATCTTGTGTGACGTCGGTTTCTGAGTCCCAGATATGCTTCGT